ATATATCTCCTACCTAGCTTTGCCTCCCAATTACTTTCTCAACCCACAGCAGGATCTCTATCTGTGCACTCACAAGACTGCCTTGCACATGGCACACTTATTGCCATGGGTCTTGCCATCTGGGCCACGCACGGGATCGTTTTCTCGTGTGCAGAAAAGAGTTCCATTTTGCAAAAGGCTCCGAAATTCACTACAGTTATCCTAAAAGAAAGAGAAAAGGCAAGAGCTTGGTTATGTTCTTGGAAATTATTTTGTTGGTTCCTACTAAGTACTTCCTGAAAGGTGCTAGGATGAGGGAAAGAAATTCCCTAGGGATTTTTTTCTCTGACAATTCTATCACTCAATTCCTACTAAGAACATAGAACTCAAAAAGAGATCTGTGTTTCTTTTTCCTTGCAAGTTATCCCCCAAATCCAGACTGAACCAGCAATTACACACAAGTAAGACTCTTAACAAACTGGGTTCTCTGAGGACTGGTTGCAGTCCTTATTCAGGGGATTGCTGTCTATCTCTATTACATCATAATGCAAAAAACAAAATTAAAAACGCTGCACATGTCATAGACTTAAAAGATTAGAGTTGGATAAATCCTCAAATTTCATCTGGTCTGACCATCCATACTGTCTCTCAATCCCTAACTTATGACTGCCAAGAAGTTACTCAATTTCTGCTGGAAGACATGCAGTGATAAGGACTCTATTACCTACCAGATGGTTTATTCCAAATTTTTACTGGATAATTCTAGCCATAATACTACTTTTGGGAGATCTTGGAAAACAGGTTTATTTTCCTAAGTTAATAAAGTAGGATGAATATGTTCCTTCAGACCAGCAAGCAAAGATGAAGCCTTTTACATCCTTCTGAAAAATCAATGGTATTTTTCCTCTTTCACGCATGTTCTTCAGATATTTGAAGAGAGCTTTCTGGATCTTCTCTCATGCTTCTGAATATTCTCTTCCAAGAGCTACACATACCCAGATACTTTAGTTGTTCTGTTTATGATGTGGTTTCAGTTCCATTTCCTACTCTGGATTCTTTCCCTTTCCTAACAAATTCAGCATAATATCCTAAGTGTGGCCTGGTAAGCACTACTATGCTGACAACTGCATTACCAGTTAGAATTCCAAATTTTCCATTAAGAGACTTGGGTAAAGGTTTTTGCCTCTTTGTACTTCAGTTATCTCATCTATAAAAGGAAGTAATAGCACCTATTGTACATGGTTAAAATAATAGTGGCCAATATGTTTTCAGTACTCAATAAATATCCCAGATTATTATGAGAATATGTGATAAATGTATAAATATGCACAGTTACTAACATGTAGACACAACTCGATAGACGTAAACTCTAGAGTTATCTGAGAAACTGAGAGAGAATAAACGAATCACTTAAGATCATGGAAGTAACTACCAGCAGTAATTAGGATTGATTTTGTATTTTTCCAGGACAATTACCTTTTCAGATTCTCTTTTAACTTTTTCTCTGGATTCATTATCTTTTTCTTTTGCTTCTTGCAGGCTGTTAGAGAGGGGTAGGGGAGAATCATTCATAGCACTCAACATAGAGAATATTAAAAGGAAAATAACTCTAGGTAAGAATATTCCATTACTTCTATACCTCTATTTATTTACCGCAGGACTTGAAAAAAAATAAGTCATACACCTCCATATCATTGTTTTTGGGGTTTTTTTTTTTTTGGGGGGGGGGTAACAAGTAGCACTTGACCACTGAGCCACATCCCCAGCCCTGTTTTGTACTATTTAGAAACACAGTCTCAATGAGTTGCTTAGTGCCTCAATTTTGTTGAGGCTGGCTATGAATTCCCAATCCTCCTGCCTCAGCCTCCTGAGCTGCTGGAATTACATCTGGGATTACAGGCATGTGCCACCATGCCCAGCTATGGTTCTGGTTTTTAATATTTCTTAAAAAATAAGACACACATGTAATAGCAAACCAGTAAACAAATTTTCATGATGACATTTCTTTTGTAAAATACAGATATTGTCCTTCTCTCAAAAAGAAATTAGGATATTGATGAGAGGTTAACACTTTTTTCTACTTGTTAGTACCCAAAGATTACACCTTTGGATTATTCACAACTGTGCCCTGTGCGCAGAAAAGAGAAGGCCTAACCCTTTTATGCCATTAACTCCAGGGAAATTTGCCCTTAGCACATGGACCTCCCTTGATAGTAATTCAAGTACCTTTCAGAAAACTAGGAGAAAAGCATGCTAAGTATATAGCCTCAAAATAGTAAATCTCCAAACTCAATGCCTATACAGCCTTCATTATCTACCTCCTGGAGATACCAGCAGTGTCACCCTCTCACCCACCGGAGCTTTCCTTTGCAACTCTACTCACAAGAAGGCCTCACACATGGAGCAAGTGTTGCCGTGGATTTTCCCGTCCAGGCCCTCAATGGGGTCATTCTCTCTGGTGCAGGGGAGCCGCCCATCCTTCACATACTGACGGTATTCACTGCACAGCTTCTGCCGAAAGGAGGATGATTTCAGAATCAGATAACTAAGCACTGGAAACCCTTCTCCACTTACCCTTTTGAAAACTAAAACACAATGCCCTACAGCATAGAAAACATGATGCAGAAGGAGAATATTAGCCAAGATTTTTCTCAGTGGCCTAAGTCATACATTAATTGGAATTTAAGGCAGTTGTATTCATCTCTTTAGAAAATCTTCAAACATTATTCTGAAGCAAGCACTGTGGCAGATACAAAGCACAATTTATTGTCTCTTAAATTTTCAAAGGAATTTGTGGTATGCAGAATAATAACTCTCACTCTCACCAATATGTTCAAGTCCTACTACCTGGGACCAGTGAATAGATTACCTTACATGACAAAGATAAGGTTAAAGGCCTTTAGATGAACAGAGTATCTTGGGTTACTCTAATGGGCTTCATCTCAAGAACCAACCCCTAAAATTGAAAGATGAGACAGAATAGAGAGTGAGATATGATCACAGAGGAATAGTCAGAGAGATGCAGCGTTGCTGGCTTTGAGATGGAGGAAGGAGTCCAAGCATGTGCAACACAAATGGCCTCCAGAAGCTACAGAGCAGGACATGGATTCTTCCCTAGAGATTCCAGAGAGGCAGGCTGCCCTGCCAACCTTTGATGTTAGCCCAACTGGTATGTTTGTCTGACTTTAATCCTACAAAATCATAGATAAGAAATTTACATTGCTTTCAGCCACCATGTTGTGGTAATTTGTTGTAGCAAACATAGAAAACTAATACAAAGTGTTTACTTTTTTAGAAAAAAAAACACAAAAAGAAATTATAAGAATTAAGCAAATTTTGTAAAATAAAGAAATTTTCTCGCATAATAAATGATAGTTATTAAATACATTATTCAAGTGGAGGAAATCTTTAGGGAGAAACTAATGTATACTCTGAGCCTGAATTTTTATTTAGTCAAGGAAATTTCCTAAGAGCAAAGCCATATAGAAGGCAAAGTTGTTGAATAATTAGTGAATTGTGCAATGTGATACATCCTACTGGGTAATGATATTACACAGATAAATACAATAAATACAGCAACAACAGATATTATATATTGAGTGCTTAGATATGGCTGCGGTTGTGGCTCAGTGGTAGAGCACTTGCCTAGTATGTGTGGGTTCAATTCTCAGCACCGCATATAAATATATGAATAAAATAAAGGTGCATCAAAGTCTAAAAACATGTTAAAAAAAGATATGGGAGACACTGTGCTGTTAAACACAGATAAGTTTCTTATTGGTAATAATAACATTCTCATTTTATAAATGAGGAAATTAAGACATAGAGATTTTGGCTATCTGAACTTAACTTGTAAGAAGACAGAGCAAGGATTTGAACCCTGAGAGCACAAGTTTGAATTCAGATTTTTAACCATGATATCATTCTACAAGACAGAAAGACATGAATTGATTCTTGGCATGTTCAAAAAGCAACAAGATGGTCAGTGTAAACCAGCAGAAGAACGTATGTAGAACAATAGGAAATGAGGTCTGAGAAGTGACAGGGATCAGACCAAGCCTGGCCTGTAAGCTACTAGAAGGACCTCAGTTCTTACTCTGAGCTGAGAGGCCTCTGGGTGACATGGCTTGCCTAATGTTTTTAAATGATTACTTTTCTCTCAGAATCAAAGATAGACACTAGGGAGTAAAGGTAAGAGGTAAGAGAAAAGTAGAGATGAGGTCTTGTAAACTGGAAAAGGATAAAGGAAAGAAGGGACAAAGACCTAGGCACAGCCCTTCAGGCATATTAGCCCTGTTGGGCTTAATATATAAGAAGAAAAGGAGTCTTCTAATCCACCGGGATCCAATATATTTCCTCAGCTTGCAGACACTAAGACCCTGGGACTGTTGGGGTAGGAGACAGGTTGGGGGAGAACGACATTGTATATGTATGTGACTCTGATGATTTAAAACAACTACCTCCACGGCTTCTCTCTTAACTTTTTCAGCCTCAACTTTCTCTGTTTCTTCTTCATTATGATCTTTCTTCTCCTCTTCTTCAAGCATGCTGCAATAGAAGATCACAGGCTGAGTACGATTCTCCACTGACTTTGGTAGATTGTTTCAAGAAGGAATGAGGAGCTTTCAGAATGAAAGTCAAACAGTCTTTATGACACTTATACCCACCCCAACAAGTGCTATTGTTTTAGCCAATGTACAGATAAATTAAATAGTCCATATCCCCTCTCTAAAAACAGCAATAATAAAAAAGCACGAATTTAATCAGCTTATGCCCCTCCGTTGATCTTATAGTCTATAGATTTTATGACTTCAATCAGTGATCTATAAGAAGCCACGATTGTTTTGATTTTTTTCTAATTGTGAAACTTTTCCTATACAAATAACTACCACATCAAGGACAAGAGCAAATGGTAATGCCAAGTTCGATGATAAACCCATCATCATATAATTTTATGGGATAGGGTTGTAGCTCAATAGTAGAGCACTTGCCTAGCATACGTGAGGCACTGGGTTTGACCCCCAGAATCACATAAAAATAAATAATAAACAAAATAAAAGTATTAAAAAAAGATACCATGTTTAAAAAACATGTTTTACCATGAAATACAAATTTTAAATATTATTTTGGGGGATCTAATGTTCATAGAGAAATTCTAGTTTGAGATCATAATAGTGATCCAAGTTCAGTAAGATTAAGCAGCTACTTTTTTTGTTTTGTTTTGAACCAGAGATAAGCCACGTCACCAGCGCTTTTTATTATTTAGTTAGAGACAGGTTCTCACTAAATTGCTTAGGGTCTAGCTAAGTTGCTGAGCCTGGATTTGAACTCATGATCCTCCTGCCTCAGCCTTTGCAGCCACTGAGATTATAGGTGTGTGCCACCAACCTCAGCAGCAGCTCCTTTTTTGAGGTTGATCACAAGCCTAACGTTTCATTCTCTTGTCATTTCCCTGTGACATGTGTCATGTCATGCTGGACATTGTGAGTATTTACCACTTCTGGTTATTATCATAGGACCAGCAAATGGAAAAGATGAGAGAAAAATCCTGATTTCTTGTCCTCCCAGTCATTATTTAATCTAATGCGTCACTCTGTCAATCTTTCTTTTTAAGAAATTACCTGCATACACTTAAGATAAGACCTGTGTGATTGGAGACTATTTTTGTTGTTGTTGTTGTATCTTTAAACAGACATTTAAATATTTTTCTCCACATTTATTTTAGAGTGATGTTCAAGAGGGAATTGGCAGTCTAACAAGGAAGGAATTAGAATTGATAAAACTCAGCTTCTCTAATGCCCCACACAGTGGAACTCCAGCCCTCAGGTTTATCCATAGCACGAAGCAACAGAAAGGCCTAGCAAGCTCTGACCTGACTTAACATTTCAGTACAAATCTGGCACATGAACCTGACTCTCAGGGGTTTCCCACCACACTAATACACTTTCAAAGTGTGCATTTCACCTGTGTCTAGCACTTTCCCTGAAAGGGTAGACACAATCCTCTCTATTATACTTCTCTGTCTTCTTCAGGTTATTATAACAATCTTTATGTCTCAGCCCCACACACGTCTATTCAACTGGATTACCTTAACCCACATCTGAATATACTCACAGAGTGGTAATATACCAGAGGAGATAGAGGGACCAAAAGGAGCATGCAATCCAGACCATGAAACTTCTGCCCACTTTTTGTCATAAATAAAGAGTGTCAAGTGTTAAAAACATATCAACACTAAAGGGAGTCTTTTCCTTTGACTTAATTAGAAGATAGAAGGAAGACTGGCTTGAGAATAACACTGTCACTGTGTACTTCAGTGGTACTTAATGTCTTTTCCATGTGTTTGTAAGATTTTCTAGTTGACAATCCATGGTAAATATACTACAGATGTAGGAGGAATCTGAGGCTCAAAGTGAACAGTGATGAAGAGAGTCAGAGGGAGAGCTGGGGTGGATACCTACAACACACTAGAACACATGGAACACTTGTTTCCGTGAATTTGGCCATCTGGGCCAAAAACGGGGTTATGCTCCCTGGTGCATACGAGTGATCCATTTCTCACGTAGTTCCGGAATTCCCTGCAGATTTCCTGGAAAATGAGGAAAATATTTTCTCAGGTCAGTTTTCTATCCTTTCTACCTATGAGGAACAAGTCATGCATGGCAGTATAGACAAAGTCAGGAAAAGTTATGACATATAGCAATAAATCAGTAAAGAAGTACAAAGATCCAGTCACACACTCAAAATTGCCCTGGTGTTACATCAGATCTGTAACCATAACCATCATCCTCCTGAGGATGCCTGTAATTATGGTGCAGAATCAGGCTGATGAGTTGGGCAGAGTTCAACAGAAAACATGCATGTTTGTGTTGTGACATATAATTCAATCTATCTGTAAGAGTTATAAAAAACAATGGTGAGGAGAGTCAATAGGCCTACAGGGAAGCCTTCCTAGAGGCGAGAGAGAATTGCTGAGTCAAGGTTTGTCTTTAGCAAGCCAAGAAGAGGAAAAACAAGCATGCTCATCTTTATAGATGTGAGCAGAAAAAGTATGATCCCTGGAGAAGGCGACATCTTTCCTAGAGTGAATCCCTGTCCAGGGATGGGGAATGAGGATTTAAATCAGGAGAGTACAATAGGAGAGGAGAGAAGGAGAAAAAGGGTGAGGAACATTGGGAATATCAAAGAGGCCTTGGAATATGATCAAATATAATAGATTAAATGGATTTTCAGTTTTAAATTACTGATAAGAAACACTTGCAGCTAATAAAAACATTTATTAAAAAAGAGTTGGTATCAACCTTTCCCAACTAATGGTTAGGTTCAGACTTTTGTAGTTATTGTTCAAAAGTAAAATTAAATGCAAATTGTGTATAAGGCTACTGTGTGAAACCAGCAAGCTTGTTTATTGTGGGTTCTAAGTGCTTCCCGTATATAGATGTCCGTCTCATTCCCAAGATTCAGAAAAGTTTTCTGCCATTATTTCACTGGAAAGGTTATTAATGCCGTTAGTCTGAATTTCCTCTCCTTCTTGAATGCCAATTATTCTTAAGGTCAGTTTCTTAATATTGTCCCAGATTTATATACCTAATCATAGTTTCTTATCTGTTGTTTTAATTTTATCTGTATATTCAAAGTCAGCCAACTTGTCCTCAAAATGAAATTTTGTCTTCTACCTGATCTAATCTGTTGAAGAGACTTTCAACTGAATTTTTTATTTCGTTGATTGTGCCTTTCATTTCTAAGATATCTGTTCGGGCCTTCGTCAATATTTCTATTTCTTAATTGAATTTCTCATTCATATCCTATACTTGTTTCCTTATTTTTTTCACATAATTTTCTGTGTTCTCTGGTTCGTTGGTCACTTTTATAATCATTCTTTAAATTCTTTATCTTCTGTTTCATCCACTCAATCTTTGGAATAAGTTGCTGGTGAATTATGAGCCTTATGGTGACACATTCTCTTGTTTTATTTTCATAATTCTTGTATTCCTATATTGGTATTTGTTCATCTGTTGGGATGGATTTCTCTTCCACTATTATGTGAAGACCCCTTTAGGGCATAGCTCTCTCTTGATGAAATGTTCCAGAGCATCAGGTTATTGTGAATATTCTTCCAAGGGGGTTTTGTAGATTCATATGGTTTCTATGGTGATAGATAGTGTATCTTGACACTTGTTGTGTTAGTGCTTGAGGATTCCACTTTCTCTGTAGATCTCACAATAGTGGGGTCCATCTAGTGGGTCAGATGTTGTATGCAGCAGTGTATATGGAGTACATTCTCTGTTATTGCTGTTCTAGGCTTCACAATTCTGTTGTAACAGGGTACAGACATGATCTATATTGAGGTTCCTTATAGGTGTTGTGTCTACAGTCTCTGTGTTACTTCTCTCTACTGCTGCTGTAGGAGTGAATGTCTGTGAGTGGTTCTAAGGCCACCTCACCATTCTTAGTTGGGACATAGTTATCAGTTTGGGGATTAAGTCTCTTCCTATCCTTTGAATATTCAATATTTTTTTTTATAAAAATGAACCTCAAAATTTGAGTAATCATAAAGTAAAATTGGTATTAGAAAAATTTCATAAAGACTTCCCTTTCTTTTTTTAAAGGATAAGAGTTTTCTTAATTTATTTCAGACATGAAACAAACAAAAAATTTATGCTAATGAGATAACTAGAATTCTATTATATAGAAAAATTGCCAAGAAACAAAGTCAGCATTTCTGAGAAAATTACCTTTGCAGCTTCCCTTTTTTCTTTTGCTGTTGATTTTTCTTCTTGTTTACTACAAGGGACAGGAAAATAGAGAGAGAGACGAAATGGATCTTATTCCAGGAGAGCAGATCTTTCACATTTATAGATTGATCAGTCACTGCTTTGATTATTCTCAAGATCCACCCATAGTACTTTGTCATTGTATTTATAATCAACTATAAAGGTTCACTACACCTGAAGACAATAGTGTTCAAGAGGAAGTCCCTTTAACAATGAGTAATCCATTTAACTTCCCAGCATGTGCACTGCAGTAATATTCTCTGATTTGCTTCTGTGGTCACTTATATAAGGTGGTAATATTTGGTTTGGGCAGCAATACAGCAGAGTGGTTAGGGGGAAATACTCTGGACTGAGATCATCCTAGGAAAATGAGACGCACCTTAGTCTCCCTCTGCCTTCCTTTCTTTAAAATGAAGAGCAATAGAGGTATAGGACAGGAAGTAAGAATACCTTTCTCTTAAGAATGTATGGAGTATTACATGAGTTGGTATATTTAAGGTCACTAGAACAGTACCTCTTACATCATCAAGTGATTAGCATAAATTATATAAGGAACTGACATCATCGGCATTGTCATCATTGTAAGTAAACATTCCAAAAATAGGCATATTATAAAATTAAGTGAGAGCAATAGATCTTTCTATGTTAGATAATTACTAGTGCTGCAAACTGAATTTAGTGGTTGGACCTATAGCATAGCTGGTATATGACACAAACAAATCCTGTTGTATAGAGAAAAAATATTGCATAATTTGTTAAAATGTTTTAATGCATTCTAATCAATACAAGATTTGACCATCCATCAAATTAAAACATTTTTAAAAGATGAAAAGATTATTTTCACATGGTATGAAAAAGTGCAAAAAATGACAATGGAGGAAAAAAAGATCATCAAGAAACTCAGTAACCTTTGTTAGCATATATGGGTAATAAAAGTGTTTTTGAATAGAGATTTTGTATTTATTGGACAATTTTTGTATTTATTGTATTTATTAAAATAGGTTTAAAATGTGTTTTTCATACTTCTTTATGTGAAAACTGATCTAAACAAATCCAAGTTGACTAAATATTTTAATGAGGAATGATCAGAAAAAGCAGCAGAACTGCCCACTAGGTGGCAGAATTATTTCTGTAGAGAAAATGAAATGTAGAGAAAAAGAAAAACAGATTGAAAGAAGCCTATCTATAGGCAAATATATCACCAGTAGTTGGTAAAGCCTTGATAAGAGATTATATCCTGTGTACACTACAGTGAGAAGCATGTTATAATTTTTTTACCAACATAAAACATAAACTCAGCTGATTTTCTGCCACTCTTAATTTCACTAGGCCTTCGTCTTTTCATTTGTAACTTGTGATAATACAGAACCTATTTCATATGATTATGATGACGATTAAATGAGATAATGTAGCAAATCTTATCATATGCCAGACAATTACATCTATTCAATAAATGCTTATTATGATACCTAAGTCATCATCATATTGACTTTCCAAATAGAAAAGATTTTTGGAGTTCAATGGCTCTAACATTATGGGAGAAATCTGATGAATTAGACTGCCCCTGCCCCTCATCCAACAGAGAAGACTTTTTGAGATCTTTTGCACAATATGTAGACTGTAGTTAATAATATATCATGTATTTCAAAAGAGCTAAAAGAGTATATTTTAAATATTCTAATCACAGAGAGATAAATATATAAGGTGATTATGTTTCTTAGGCTGATTAAATCATTCCACATGTATATCTGTATAAAAATATCACATTATCCTCATAGACTTTAATGTTGAGAAAGTAAATTGGGAAATACTTTTAGTCAAAACATGAGTTAGGGGAAATTGTAGATTCTTGTTTAAGGGTCCATACCATTTTACTTATTTCACAAACTTCAGGTTCCCTAAAATAGGTAACCAACTTCTACACATGAAAATCATTATCCTTAAGTCATTATCTTTATGTTATTATTCGTGTTAAACCCAAATCTTCCTCCCTATATACTTCTTATCCATTTTATTTCTGTTCGCTAAATTCACACAGAATTGGTGGGAAGAAAAATAGTGAGCAAAAGAAAAAAAATCTCATAAAATTTCCATATAGTACTAATTTTCTTAGTTTGACTAATAATATTTCATAGAGCTGAAAATAATTAGTATTATTATCATAGACTAATCTCCAATCTGGATGGAAAATTATAAATTACTTCTGAAATGCCTTATAAGATACCATTCTACATCTCTTTTGTGAAAAATTGTTTTGACAAATAACTTCTATTCATGAGGATAATGTGATATTTTTATACAGATATACATGTGGAATGATTTATTTATCTCTCTGTGATTAGAATATTTAGAATGTACTCTTTTAGCTCTTCTGAAATACATGATATATTATTAACTACAGTCTCCATATTGTGCAAAAGATCTCAAAAAGTATGCCTCTTAAATGAAATCAGATCCTCTAGTTGAGATTTCCTCATTTTCAACACCCATTCCTTCCCAATCCTGGTCTCTGTCTATTTCTATATGTTAGGTATTTGAGATGATATATATATATATATGTATCAGATCACACACTAGTTCACTTTTACATCTTGCTTATGCTGTATCTCTTATGCACTTATAGTCTGAAAGTTTTCCATTTGCTTTTATGATTTTTTGGTACTTTTAAATATGACATTCAAACTGAATTCTACATTGAAGAAGAAAATGCATTATTTTCATTAAAAAGAATTTCCCAGAGCATTTCCCATGCTCCCTGGCAATGCTCTACTCACAAGAAGGCCTGACACATGGAGCAGGTGTTGCCATGCATTTTCCCACCTGGGCCTCGAATGGGGTCATTCTCTCTGGTGCAAATAAGTTGTCCATTCTTCCAGGATTTGCGGTATTCACTACATAACTTCTAAAGAAATCAAGGAGGAAAGTTGGAGGTGTTAAACAAAGTTTAGATCTGATTTGCAAGAATGAGTGAAATTTAGCCTTTTATTTTTTAAACTGGAGGTCAACTCTTGGCCTATTTTAGGATACTTCTCAACTTTGAAGGCATGGATATTTTTAAGTGTCAATGGATCCTCAAGCAAGAAAATCACATCTGTACATGCACAGATGCAAACACATCAAAACAACAGCTGTACAAATGTTTCATAGAGTTTCAGGGAATTCACGTGTTCCCTGAATGTGACATGTACATCCCCAGGTCCATATACCTCTGACTTATTAGAAAGGGTAGCTCACCTCAAAGGAAGCAGATTGTCTTTTATTTCTTGAAATAATTTCCTTCTTTTTCTTTTCCTCTTCTTCTGCTTGGCTAAATGAGAGTGGTTGAAGAAAAGATATGAGAAAGAATCAGAGAATTTTCAGATTGGAAGTAATCTCAGACAAAATTTGAAGTTAATTAACATGGATTAAATTCTTACTGTGTGCCTAAGCCGGTGTTCAAACTATGAAATAGGCATGACATCATTTAGCATGTCATGCTAGACATTGAAAGTATTTACCACCTCTGGTTATTACCACAGCATAACCAAATGGAATAGATGAGAGGAAAAAATCCTGATTTATCTTCCTCCCAGTCACTATTTAATCTAATGCTTCATGCTGTCAATCTGTCCTTTTAAGAAATTACCTGCATACACTTAAGGTAAGACCTCTGTAAATGGAGACTATTTTTTGTTGTTGTTGTTGTTTCTTTAAACATACATTTAAATATTTTTCTCCACATTTATTTTAGAGTGATGTTCAAGAGGGAATTGGCAGTCTAACAAGGAAGGAATTAGAATTGATAAAACTCAGCTTCTCTAATGCCCCACACAGTGGAGCTCCAGCCCTCAGATTTATCCATAGCACGAAGCAACAGAAAGGCCTAGCAAGCTCTGACCTGACTTAACATTTCAGTACAAATCTGGCACATGAACCTGACTCTTAGGGGTTTCCTGCCACACTAATACACTTTTCAAAGTGTGCATTTCACCTGTGTCTAGCACTTTCCCTGAAAGGCTAGATGTGTCCTCTCTATTCCACTTCTCTGTCTTATTCAGGTTATTATAATAGTCTTTATGTCTCAGCCCCACACATGTCTATTCAACTGGATTACCTTAACCCACATCTGAATATACTCACAGAGTGGTAATACACCAGAGGAGGAAGAGAGACCAAAGAGAACATGCAATCCAGACCATGAAACTTCTGCCCACTTTTTGTCATAAATAAAGAGTGTCAAGTGTTAAAAACATATCAACACTAAAGGGAGTCTTTTCCTTTGACTTAATTAGAAGATAGAAGGAAGACTGGTTTGAGAATAACACTGTCACTGTGTGCTTCAGTAGTACTTAATTTCTTTTCCATGTGTTTGTAAGATTTTCTAGTTGACAGTCCACGGTAGATATACTACAGATATAGGAGGAATCTGAGGCTCAAAGTGAACAGTGATGAAGAGAGTCAGAGGGAGAGCTGGGGTGGATACCTACAACACACTAGAACACATGGAACACTTGTTTCCATGAATTTGGCCATCTGGGCCAAAAACGGGGTTATGCTCCCTGGTGCATATGAGCAGTCCATTTCTCACGTAGTTCCGGAATTCGCTGCAGATTTCCTGGAATGAAGAAAATATTTTCTCAGGTCAGTTTTCTATCCTTTCTACCTATGAGGAACAAGCCATGCATGGCAGTATAGACAAAGTCAGGAAAAGTTATGACATATAGCAATAAATCAGTAAAGAAGTACAAAGATCCAGTCATACACTCAAAATTGCCCTGGTGTTACATCAGATCTGTAACCATAACCATCATCCTCCTGAGGATGCCTGTAATTATGGTGCAGAATCAGGCTGATGAGTTGGGCAGAGTTCAACAGAAAACATGCATGTTTGTGTCATGACGTATATTTCAATCTATCTGTAAGAGTTATAAAAAAACATGGTGAGGAGAGTCAATAGGCCTACAGGGAAGCCTTCCTAGAGGTGAGAGAGAATTGCTGAGTCAAGATTTGTCTTTAGCAAGCCAAGAAGAGGAAAAACAAGCATGCTCATCTTTATAGATGTGAGCAGAAAAAGTATGATCCCTGGAGAAAGCAACATCTTTCCTAGAGTGAATCCCTGTCCAGGGATGGGGAATGAGGATTTAAATCAGGAGAGTACAATAGGAGAGGAGAGAAGGAGAAAAAGGGTGAGGAACATTGGGAATATCAAAGAGGCCTTGGAAAATGATCAGATATAATAGATGAAACAGATTTTTAGTTTTAAATTACTGATAAGAAACACTTGTAGCTAACAAAAACATAGTTATTAAAAAAGAGTTGGTATCAACTTTTCCTAACTAATGGTTAGGTTCAACTTTTGTAGTTGTTCTTTAAAAATACAATTAAAGGCAAATTGCATATAAGGTTACTGTATGAAACCAACAAGCTTGTTTATTTTGGGTTCTAAGTGCTTCCCGTATATAGATGTCCGTCTCATTCCCAAGATTCAGAAAAGTTTTCTGCTATTATTTCACTGGAAAGGTAATTAATGCCAATTGTCTGAATTTCCACTCCTTCTTGAATGCCAATTATTCTTAAGTTTGGTTTCTTAATATTGTCCCAGAGTTATGTACCTAATCATAGCTTCTTATCTATTGTTTTAATTTTTCTTACTTAATTGATTTTTTTTTAAATACACGACAGTGGAATGCATCACAATTCTTATTACACATATAGAGCACAACTTTTCATATCTTTGTATATCAAGTACGTTCACTGCAATTCATGTCTTTATACATGTACTTTTTTGCATTATAATTCTTATTACACATATATACCACAATTTTCATATCTCGGTTTGTAAGTTGACACCCAATTCATGTCTTCATACATGTAGTTTGGATAATGCTGTCCATCACATTCCATCGCCCTTGCTAATCCCTTGCCTCCTCCTTTTCCCTCCCACCCCTCTTCCCTATCTGAAATCCGTCTATTCCTCCCATGCTCTCCCTTACTACCCCACTATGAGTTAGCCTCCTTATATCAGAGAAAACATTCGGCATTTGTTTTGGGGGGCTTGGCTAACTTCACTTAGCATTATCTTCTCCAATACCATACATTTACCTGAAAATGCCATGATTTTATTGTCTTTTATTGCTGAGTAAAATTCCATTGTGTATATATGCCACATTTTTTTTATCCATTCATCCACTGAAGGGCATATAGGTTGGCTCCACAGTTTAGCTATTGTGAATCGTGCTGCTATAAACATTGATGTGGCTATGTCCCTATAGTATGCTGTTTTTAAGTCCTTTGGATATAGTCTGAGGAGAGGAATAGCTGGGGTCAAATGGTGGTTCCATTCCCAGATTTCCAAGGAATCTTCATACTGCTTTCTATATTGGCTGCACCAATTTGCAGTCCCACCAGAAATGTATGAGTGTGCCTTTTTCCCCATATCCTTGCCAACACTTATTGTTGTTTGTCTTCATAATAGCTGCCATTCTGACTGGAGTGAGATATCTTAGACTAGTTTTGATTTGCATTTCTCTGATTCTTAGACATGATGAACATTTTTTCATATATTTGTTGATTGATTGTATATCCACTTCTGAGAAGTGTCTGTTCTGGTCCTTGGCCCATTTGTTGATTGGGTTATTTATTTTTTCAGTACTTAACTTTTTGAGTTCTTTATATACCCTAGAGATTAGTGCTCTATCTGATGTGTGAGGGGTAAAAATTTGCTCCCAGGATGTAGGCACTCTATTCACCTCACAGATTGTTTCTTTTGCTGAGAAGAAACTTTTTAGTTTGATTCCATCCTATTTATTGATTCTTGGTTTAAATTCTTGTGCTATAAGAGTCTTATTAACAAAGTTGTGGCCTAATCCCACATGATGAAGATTAGGGCCCACTTTTTCTTCTATTAGAAGCAGAGTCTCTGGTTTAATTTCTAGGTCCTTGATCCATTTTGAGTTCAGTTTTGTGCATAGTGAGAGATATGGGTTTAATTTAATTTTGTTTCATATGGATTTCTAGTTTTCCTAGCACCATTTGTCAAAGATGCTATCTTTTCTTCAGTGCATATTTTGGCACCTTTGTGTAATATAAGATAGTTGTAATTTTGTGGGTTAGTCTCTGTGTCCTCTATTCTGTACCATTGGTCTACAAACCTGTTTTGGTGCCAGTATCATGCTATTTTTGTTACTATTGCTGTGAGTATAGTTTAAGTTCTGGTGTAGTGATGCCACCTGCTTCATTCTTCCTAAAAAGGATTGCTTTAGCTATTCTGGGTCTCTTATTTTTCCAGATGAATTCCAAGATTGCCTTTTCTATTTCTATGAGGAATGTCATTGGTATTTTGATCAGAATTGCATTAAATCTGTATAGTGCTTTTGGTCCTATGGTTATTTTGATAATATCAATTCTGCCTATCCAAGAGTAAGGTAGATCTTTCCATCTTCTAAAGTCTTCTTTGATTTCTCTCTTTAGGATTCTGTAGTTTTCATTGTATAGATCTTTCTCTTCCTTCGTTAAGTTGATTCCCAAGTATCTTTTTTTTTTAAATCTTATTGTGAATGGGGCAGTTTTCCTCATTTCCTTCTCAGAGGATTTGTCACTGATACACAGAAATGCCTTTGATTTATGGGTGTTGATTTTATATCCTGCTACTTTGCTGAATTCATTTATTAGTTCTAGAAGTTTTCTGGTGAAAATTTTTTTGGGTCTTCTAGGTATAGAATCATATCATCAGCAAATAGTACTAATTTAAGTTCTTCTTTTCCTATACATATCCCTTTTATTTCTTTAGTCTGTCTAATTGCTCTGGCCAGTGTTTCAAGAACTATGTTGAATAGAAGTGGTGAAAGAGGGCATCCCTGTCTTGTTCAAGTTTTTAGAGGGAACGCTTTCAATTTTTCTCTGTTTAGAATGATGCTGGCCTGAGGCTTAGCGTAGATAGCCTTTACAATGTTGAGATATGTTTCTGTTATTCCTAGTTTTTCTAGTGTTTTGAACATAAAGCCGTGCTTTATTTTGTCAAATGCTTTTTTCTGCATCTATTGAGATGATCATATGATTCTTATCTTTAAGTCTATTGACATGATGAAATACATTTATTGATTTCCGTATGTTGAACCAACCTTGCATCCCTGGGATGAATCCCACTTGATCATAATGCACAATCCTTTGATATGCTTTTTAATTCTATTTGCCAGAATTTTATTGAGAAATTTGCATCTATGTTAATTAGAGATATTGGTCTGAAGTTTTCTTTCTTTGATGTGTCTTTGCCTGGTTTTGGGATGGGGTGATATTGGCCTCATAGAATGAGTTTGGAATTACTGCCTCTTTTTCTATTTCCTGAAATAAATTGAAAAGTATTGGTTCTTCTTTAAAGGTCTTGTAGAACTCAGCTGTGTATCCATCCAGTCCTGGGATTTTCTTGGTTGGTAAGCTTCTGATGGCTTCTTCTATTTCCTCACTTGAAATTGGTCTGTTTAAATTGTGTATATCTTCCTGACTCAATCTGGGCAAATCGTATGACTTAAGAATTTTATCAATGCCTTCAATATCTTCTATTTTATTGGAGAATAAGATTTCAAAATAATTTCTAATTATCCTCTGTATTTCTGTAGTGTCTGTTGTGATATTACCTTTTTCATCACGTATGCTGGTAATTTGAGTTCTCTCGATCCTTCTCTTCATTTGCATGGCTAAGGGTCTGTCAATTTTATTTATTTTTTCAATAAATAAATTGTTTTATCAATTTTTTCAATTATTTATTGTTTCATTTTTATTGATTTTGGCTCTAATTTTAATTATTTCTTGCTTTCTACTGCTTTTGCTGATTTTTTCTTCTTTTTCTAGGGCTTTGAGATGTAGTGTAAGGTCATTTATTTGTTGACTTTTTCTTCTTTTAAGGAATAAACTCCATGCAATGAATTTTCCTCTTAGCACTGCTTTCATTGTGTCCCAGAGATTTCGATATGTTGTGTCTATGTTCTCATTTACCTCTAAGAATTTTTAAATCTCCTCCTTGATGTCTTCTGTGACCCATTGTTGATTCAGTAGCACATTGTTTAGTCTCAAGGTAATGGAGAAATTTTTATTTTTTATTTTGTCGTTGATTTCCAATTTCATTCCATTATGATCTGATAAAATGCATGGTAGTATTTCTACTTTTGTGTATTTGCTAAGAGTTGCTTTGTGACATAGTATATGGTCTTCTAAGTGGTCTACTCTGTTGATAATGCTTTAATTTGAGGTTTTTATTTGGTTTATTATTTCTTTCATTTCAAGTATTTCTGTTTTTTTTTAACCTCTCCCATTTGAGGTGATCTTTTGCTTCTTGCAATTGTTTATGTAGCTTTCACTGCCTGTATTTGTTTTCTTATGTCTTCTTTGAAATCCCAAAACATTTTAACCATGTATATCCTGAAATCTTTCTCTGTCAATTTTTATGCTGTAGTTGCCAATGCTTCTAATGATATGTTGTTTTGATTTGTTTGTGGTACTTTCTTCCCTTTTTATGTTGCTCATGTGTCTTTCTTTGCAGCTCTGTGGATCTGGTGTGTTATTGTTTTAACTTTTGTTTATTGTGGGAGATTTGTAGTGCTCTTGTAGGATTCCAAGATCTCTCCTTTGTGGGGAAGAACAATGTTAACTGATTTCAATATCAACAGTACATCACCTATGAACAAATTGTTGTTATTAAGACATTTACAGTTTAGTCTCAATGTCCAGAAATGTTGGATTCAATTATTATTTAAAATATCATCAGTAGTTTCATAAAATGGTTTACAGTTTCTGCTAGTGGAAAATGAACTGAGGGTCAGGCATAGGACGATATGCTGAGGGGAAAAGATGTGAGGGTAGACAGTTAATATATCTTAGGAAATGTGAAGGAGAAATCTAGTGAAGAGGGTTAGTAGCAGGAGAATAGATAGGACCTCTCACCCCCAAGCTCACACCAGGTGGGCGGCGCCCTGGTCACACTGCACTCCTGTCCAACTGAGAGCTGTGTTTGTATTAGGTGGCCACTGTGCTGAGTTATCAGCACTGGGGAGGGGCGTGGATTGGAAATCAGGTACCTGCTCAAATGGCGAACCAATCTGATACCCACACCCATTACAAAATGCTGAGGAAGGTTTTCCAACATGGAGTTGGACTGCTTCCAGTGCAAGGGTGTCTGGTGATGTGGGGGGAGCTGGGCGATGGCCTTGTGCTTGGATAGGTAGCAGCAGAGTGACCTGCATGGGAGCAGAGTGCAGTCTGGAGTTCTGCAGAGGTGGTGATAGTTGGTTCTGCTAAGCTGCTGGTGAGTCGTGCTGCTAGAACTGCAGGCTTTGGATCCAGAGTCCAGAGACTTACTTGAGCGCAGAGGCTCTGATTTCTGCACTGGTGGTCCCAGCACTGGTGATTTCTGTGAGAATCCACTGTATAGGGGTCTTCTCATACTCTCTGAGATGTTGTATTCCGTCTAGGAGAGACCTTGTGGAGAAGCTGCCTGTCTGCTTTCTTCATTTCATGCCACAGAACAGCCAGAAACAGGACTTCATCTATTCTGCCATCTTCCCACCATCCTGTTTTTGTAATTTTATCTGTATATTCAAAGTCAGCCAACTTGTCTTCAAACTGAGATTCTGTCTTCTACCTGGTCTAATCTGTTGAAGAGACTTTCAACTGATTTTTTTTATTTCATTGATTGTGCCTTTCATTTCTAAGATATCTATTCGGGTCTTTGTCAATATTTCTATTTCTTAACTGAATTTCTCATTTATATCCTATATTTGTTTCCTTATTTTTTTTCACACAATTTTCTGTGTTCTCTGTTTCATTGGTCACTTTTATAATCATTCTTTAAATTCTTTATCTTCTGTTTCATCCACTCAATCTTTGGAATAAGTTACTGGTGAATTGTGAGCCTTATGGTGACACATTCTCTTGTTTTGTTTCATTTCCATAATTCTTATATTCCTAAGTTGGTATTTGTGCATCTGTTGGGATGGATTTCTCTTCCACTATTATGTGAAGGCCCCTTTAGGGCATCGCTCTCTCTTGATGAAATGTTCCAGAGCATCATGTTATTATGAATATATTTCCAAGGGGGTTTTGTAGCATAGATTCCTTATTGTTTCTGTGGTGATAGTGTATCTTGACACTTTATTGTGTTAGTGCTTGAGGATCCCACTTTCTCTGTAGATCTCACAATAGTGGGGTCCGTCCAGTGGGTCAGATATGTTGTATGCAGCAGTGTATATGGAGTACATTCTCTGTTATTGCTCTTCTAGGCTTCACAATTCTGTGAAGGTATGGACATGATCTATATTGAGGACCCTGATAGGTGTGCTGTCTACAGTCTCTGTGTTATTCTCTCTGTTGCTGCTATAGGAGTCAATGTCTGTGAATGGTTTTAAGGTCACTTCACCATTCTTACTTAGGACATTGTTATCAGTTTGGGGTTTAGGTCTCCCTCTAACCTTTGAATACTCATTTTTTTTATAAAAATGAACCTCAAAATTTGAATAATTATGAAGGAAAATTGGTATTAGAAAAATTTCATAAAGACTTATCTTTCTTTTTTTAAAGGATAAGAGTTTTCTTAGTTTATTTCAGACATGAAACAAACAGAAACAATTTATGATAATGAGATAACTAGAATGTTACTGTAAAGAAAAATTGCCAAGGCACAGAATCAGCATTTCTGAGAAAATTACCTTTGCAGCTTCCCTTTTATCTTTTGCTTTTCCTTTTTCTTCTTGTTTACTACAAGGGATGGGAAAAAAAGAGAGAGAGAAGAAATGGATCTTATTCCAGGAGAGCAGACCTTTCACATTCATAGACTGATTCATAGACTGATAATCCATTGCTTTGTCTATTCTCAAGATCCACCCATAGTACTTTGTCCTTTTATTTATAATGAACTAGAAATGTTCACCACACCTCAAGGCAATAGTGTGCAAGAGGAAGTCCCTTTATCAATGAGTAATCCATTTAACTTCCCAGCATGTGCACTGCAATAATACTCTCTGATTTGCTTCTGTGGTCACTTTTATAAAGCGGTAATATTTGGTTTGGGCGGCAGTAGAGCAGAGTGGCTAAAGGGGAAATACTCTGGAATGAGATCATCCAAGGAGAATGAGATGCACCTTAGTCTCCCTATGCCTTCCTTGTTTTTAAATGAAGAGGCAATAGATGTATAGGACAGGTAATAAGAATACCTTTCTCATAGGAATGTTTGGAGTATTAAATGAGTTGGTACATATAAAGTCACTAGAATAGTAACTCTTACATCATATGCAGTGATTTATGCAGTGATTAGCATAAATGATATAAGGGACTGATATCATCAGCAATGTCATCATTGTAAGTAAACATTCCAAAAATAAGCATATGATAAAATTAAGTGAGAACAATACATCTTTCTATGTTAGACAATTACTAGTGTTGCAAACTGAATTTAGTTGTTGGACCTATAGCATAGCTGGTATATGACACAAACAAATCCTGCTGTATAGAGAAAAAAATGCATAATTTGTTAAAATGTTTTAATGTATTCTGATCAATACAAGATTTGACCATCCATCAAATTAAAACATTTTTAAAAGATGAAAAGATTATTTTCACATGGTATGAAAAAGTGCAAAAAATGACAATGGAGGAAAAAAGATCAAGAAACTCAGTAACCTTTGTTAGCATATTGACAAAATATGGGTGATAAAAGTGTTTTTGAATAGAGATTTTAGTATTTATTGGAGAATTTTTGTATTTATTGTATTTATTAAAATAGGTTTAAAATGTGAGATTTTCATACTTCTTTATGTGAAAACTGATCTAAACATATCCAAGTTGACTAAATATTTTAATGAGGAATGATCAGAAAAGGCCACTGAACTGACCACTAGGTGGCAGAATTATTTCCTTGTCTTTGAAAAGTGATTGTAGAGGAAAAGAAAAATAGATTGAAATAAACCTATGAATAGGCAAATATATCACCAGTAGTTGGTAAAGCCTTGATAAGAGATTATGTCCTGTCTACACTACAGTGAGAAGCATGTTATAATTTTCTTTACCAACATGGAACATAACCTCAGCTGATTTTCTGCCATTCTCAACTTCACTGGGCCTTCGTCTTTTCATCTGTAACTTGTGACAATATAGAACCTATTTCATATGATTATGATGAAGATATTATGAGACTACATGGCAAATATTATCACATACCAGCCAATTTCATCTATTCAATAAATGCTTATTATGATACCTAAGTCATCATCGTATTGACTTTTCAAATCGAAAAGATTTTTAGAGTTCAATGGCTCTAACATTATGGGAGAAATCTGATGAATTATACTGGCCCCAACAGAGAAGACTGAATAACCAAATATCTGCCGAGAAATTAAATTGTTAAACACTTTTTGTCAAAAAATGAGTTTCGGAAATTATAGATTCTTGCTTAAGGGTTCATATCATTTCACTTATTTCACAGTCAAACTTCAGGTTCCATAAAATAGGTAACTGACTTTACACATGGAAATCATAATCCTTAAGTCATTATCTTTATGTTATTATTCATGTTAAACTCAAATCTTCCTCTCTATACCTCTTATCCATTTTAGTTCTATTCCCTAAATTCACACAGAATGAGTGGGAAGAAAAATAGTGAGCAAAAGAAAAAAATCTCATAAAATTTCTATATATTACAATGATACTTTACCTGTAATATCATGTATTTTCTTAGTTTGACTAATAATATTTCAGAGAGCTGAAAATAATTAGTATGATTGTCATATATACTCTCTAATCTGGATAGGAAATTATAGATTACTTCTGAAATGCCTTATAAAATACCATTCTGCATCTCTTTTTTGAAAAATTATTTTAATTGACAAATAATTTCTATTTATGAAGATAATGTGATATTTTTATATAGATATACATGTGGAATGATTAAATCAGTCTAAGAAACATAATCACCTCATATATTTATTTCTCTGTGATTAGAATATTTAAAATGTACTCTTTTAGCTCTTTTGAAATACATATTAACTACACTCCATATTGTGCAAAAGTTCTCAAAAAGTATGCCTCTTAATTGAAATCAGACCTTTTAGTTGAGATTTCCTCATTCCCAACCCCCATTCTTCCCCACCCCGGGCTTGTCTACTTCTGTAAGTTTGATATTTGAGATGTCTTATATAAATAAGATCACACACTAGTTCACTTTTACATCTTGCTTATGCTGTATCTCTTATGCACTTATAGTCTGAAAGTTCTCCATTTGCTGTTACGATTTTTTGGTACTTTTAAATATGACATTCAAACTGAATTCTACATTGAAGAAGAAAGTGCATTATTTCCATTAAAACAGTTTTCCCAAAGCATTTCCCAAGCTCCCTGGCAATGCTCTACTCACAAGAAGGCCTGACACATGGAGCAGGTGTTGCCATGCATTTTCCCATCTGGGCCCTGAATGGGGTCATTCTCTCTGGTGCAAATAAGTTGTCCATTCTTCCAGGATTTGCGGTACTCACTACATAACTTCTAAAGAAATCAAGGAGGAAAGTTGGAGGTGTTAAACAAAATTTAGATCTGATTTCAAGATTGAGTGAAATTTAGCCTTTTATTTTTTTAAACTGGAGGTCAACTGTTGGCCTATTTTAGAATACTTCTCAATTTGAAGGCATGGATATTTTTAAGCGATACTATCAATGGATCCTCAAGCAAGAAAATCACATCTGTACATGCACAGATGCAAATACATGAAAACAACAGCTGTACAAAGGTTTCATAGGGTTTCAGGGAATTCATGTGTTCTCTAATGCCACGTGTGCATCCCCAGGTCCATATGCCTCTGACTTATTGGAAAGGGTAGCTCACCTCAAAGGAAGCAGTTTGTCTTTTATTTCTTGACGTACTTTCCCTCTTTTTCTTTTCCTCTTCTTCTGCTTGGCTAAATGAGAATGGTTGAAGAAAAGATATGAGAAAGAATCAGAGAACTTTCAGATTGAAAATAATCTCAGACAAAATTTGACAGTTAATTAACATGTATTAAATTCTTACTGTGTGCCTAAGTCTGTGCTCATACTATGAAATAGGCATGACTTTAGGTATTAAAACTATTACTTTAACCCATTTTTTTCTAATAAGAAAACAGACAGAGTGCCTAATTTGTCCAAGGACAGAATTGTAAGTGCAAGTGAAGAATTTAGACCCTGGTTCAGAGAGGGTTTTCTAAACTTCCAGTGCTTAGGACTATATCTATGATGACCGTCATTTGCTTTAATCTGTCATTTAATGCCTTTACCTATATCATCCTTGACACTCAATGGTAAGTCATTCCATTTTTGGAATCATCAAACTGTTGGGAAGTTCTTCCTGGCATTGAGCTGGACCCTGTCTTCCAGAGCTTTCACCCACTGGCTCACTGGCCTCAATTGCATCCGTGGAGGCAACCTAGAAAAGTCCTGTTTCACTTCTTGGATCTTTCAAAACTGTGACTCTTCCCTGGTCTAAGTGTAAGGACATGGTTTTTATATGTTTCTCCAATGAGGCAGTTTCTTCAAATATGTTTTAATTCTTATAGTTCCCTACAGAAGTAGTTCCTCTCCAAATTGAACATAAAAGGAAGCAGAGAGGGCAACTAGGCTGTGACTCTACTTACAAGAAGGCCTGACACATGGAGCAGGTGTTGCCATGCATTTTCCCATCTGGGCCCTGAATGGGGTCATTCTCTCTGGTGCAGGGGAGTCTCCCATCCCTCACCAACTGTCGATATTCACTGCAAAGATCCTGCCATGGTATGGGAAGGAAGTTAATTCAAACATCTACATTGGCCTAAATTAGTGTTATATTTTGATAAGCCCAGGAGTTTAATTATATTTCTCATAAATGTAAAATTTAAGTCAACAACAATAACAAAATATCATTTTCTAAGAAATGGCCACACATAAGAAATAATAGAACATCACAATATGATATAAGAGGTACCCAAGCAAACCCTACCATAAACTGAACAGAATAAAATAAATGAAAATATACAGGTACAATATATCTGACAACTAATTGTCTGGGATCATGGAATTTGATGGTGGAAACCAGGAAAGATGTCAAGAAAAATTTAAGTAAGTCTGTCAAAAGTAGCATTTTCCTAGGTTAAAAAAATGAACTTTAGAATATGTGCACTACATTGTGAAAATAAAAGAAGCCAAGAGACACACATGCAAAATTATATAGCACATAGTGGAAAGTGGATTTCTGAATGGAGGTAAAAAAGCAAATTAAGAGAGAGGCATGAGACTAAACTGTACCCTGTAGCTGATAAGGAGTGTCTGTGGGTTAAGTAGAGCAGTATTATGACCTGATTTACATTTTGCAATATTACTTTTACTGTATTAAGTTAATGTTTGGATAAGAGGAGGATAAGAGAAAGGACAGAATCTAGAGAGAGAATTAAGCAACACTCATCATTACAACAGGTTGTGCTGATCATTCATCTAATGAATACTGTAATATTTCAGAGGTAAAATCCATGTCTTTTATAGAATCAGGGAACTTTTATTTCGACTCAGATATGAAATTTCAGGTATTCATCTGGAGAAATTGCACATGTACAGTTTTTCTGGACAGTACTTAGCAATAGCTAAAAGCCTCTATCTGGAAAGGTTGAAACTAGAACTGGAACTCAATTATTGACTCCAAGAAGTTCTTTATAGTTGACAAGTTAGTCTCTGAAGATCCAAGAACAGCACAATATCCCACTGCATTCAACTCAATGCTATCTGGGATTGAAGGGTTGGGATTTTCTGATAGTTTCTTTGAGGTGTTCAGTTAGAGGAGGATTTGTTAGATGGATCCCACTCACTTCATATGAAGGTGCTTTTTCAGATCCTCTTTTGTTTCTTGCTTGGGCTTCAGCCTTTTTCTTTTCTTCAGCTTCTTGTTGGCTGAATGAAAAAGAAAATAGAAGAGATCCATTAAGAGCAAACACGTGCTGATTTTTTTTTTTTTTTTGCATGCCTGCACCACTGATCTTTCCTCCCTCTTAAGGAGGAGCATCCCTTTCCCTCTATCATGACATATCAAAAAGAAGCAACAAAGCAGCCTCAGGTTTGGTATAATACCTCCAGTTTGGTATAATGACTTCTTCATAGTTGCTACTTAACATTAAAAGAAAGATGGAAATAGTGTATCTGGAAAACTTGTTTTCTGTAAATTATCCTTCTTGCATATGGTGAGAAAAAGATCATCAAGGTTCACAAAGAAGATAGATATCAGAATTAGAATAATGGCGATATAACATCTGGAAGTGGAAAGCAGCTTTAACCAAGTTCACTGATTCATTCTCTTGTTTCTTGTTTCTCAGAAAGGATGAGAGGCAGAAAGGCCTTGGCTATCTCTATTTTCAGGATGTGACTGCAACCAAAGTATCCTCCCTCAAGACCATGGTCCATCTACACATCATGTAGACAGTGGGTTTCAGTTAAACTTAAATGCAGTGTTTATTCATAGCTATTTTATGTAAAAGCCAAAAGATGATACCAACCGGTAAAAAAAAAATCATGATTTCCACACATTGATAAACCAAATGACCCTAAATTTGTTTTGTACAATGCAATTGTATGGTATGCACAGTTACCTGATGGTATTTCAGCTGTACATGGCTATTAACCAGAACAAAAAGTTAAATATAGCTTTTTTATAATCTAGATATAGTCTAATACTTAGTCTGAGCATAACCAAATAAAGTAAGAACTATTCTAAATAGTAAAAGGAAACTGCTAGTTCTCACTTACTAAAAATGTCAGAGTATATAAAGTAATGTTTAAGATAATTTTAGAGAAGTTTGGCAATTCCATTCAATTTCTATCAGTGCTAACTTTTGACTCCAACCCCCATGGAAAATGAGGTGCCTATTTTGTCAAATAGGTTCACCTATGAAGCTTCAGTAACAAAGCAGCAACTAAGATTTTTATAAGTTTACATTTGTCAGGAGGTTCCAGTGCTAAGAGAGTGAACGTCAGAGAAAACAAGGCAACTTAAAAATGACTCTGAGCACTTACTTTCAGCTCTACTGCAGCATTGTGCTTGTGACCCTTCCAACTCTCCAATCTTGCACCATGGTTTCCTATCTATGCAACAAACTGGCTATACTAGGGCACCATGTGACATTCTAAAACTTGATACTCACAAGAAGGCTTGGCACATGGAGCACAGGTTGCCGTGCATTTTTCCATCTAGACCACGGACAGGGTCATTTTCTCTGGTACAGAAAAGTATCCCCTTCTTTGCATGATCTCGATATTCACTGCATTGTTTCTGAATAATGAAAATGAGATACTTTAGACATAGGTCTCTATTTGTAAATTTTGTATGCTGTTTATTCAAAGAAATTGGAAAAGAGAAATTTCAGATGAAAAAAAAAATAAAACTTAGGATTTAGGACTACCAAAAATTTTGTAACACTTCCCTTCTTGCAATATTCATCCATTTAAGGATTCAACAAATACATGAAGAGCATACAAATATGAATGTGATTTAGGTCCTCTATTAGCCAAATAGAATAAGTAATTTCAATATACATGGCTAAGAAATATAACTCAGGTCTAGATTAATTGTGTAATGGAAGTTCTAAGAACTTTTGACTAAGTTCTGTCTTGAGGATGTACACAGGATCACCATGGAACAAAAGTCCTTCAAGAGGAATTATGATATGCAAAATCCTGGCAGTATTATACTACATGTTCTCTAGAGATAATTTAACATTTCCTTGAGTATAGTAGCTAAACAATTAGTTGTGTAAAAAAAGAAAGTTTTGGGAAGTGGTCAAAAAGGAGACCTTGAATATGATCAAAACCAGACCTCTAAACTTCTAAAGGAATTTGGATTTTATCCATAGGCAATAAAAACATGATAAATACATAGAGCAGAGAATGGCAGAATCATATTTGTTTTAGAAAGATTGTCAAAGAAATTTGTGAAGGAATTGAGGGAATAGAGATTGAAATTAAAGAAACTAACCAGATTCTAGAAACAGAAAGAAAGGAGGATGGGAAGGAACGAACCAAGGTGGGGAGAGATGGGGAAGGGAGGAATTGGAAGTGAGAGATAATCGAATAGTCGAGGCATATTTGAGCACTAAAATTAGAGGAACTTGGTAAACTAAGATTAAGAGGAAGAAAGAAGTTAAAATTAAAGCCTAGGCAACAAGATGGAGTTACACAGAGGCAGATTTAATGGGGCAGGTCACTCTGCCAAACTAAGCTATGTATCTGAGAAGGCTGGTAACAGTAAGAATAAATCTAAATAGGGTTTCTGCACAACAGATTTCTAGCATTTCAATAAATGACTCAAATATACTCTAGGATATTTTTAAACATTGGAATTTCATAATGCCAAGGACTCATGAAACATCTCCTGTTCTATGAAGACAACAGGGAGGGTGAATGGATCATGAGGACTGAGGAAGATGGAGACTCAGTGTATTACAAGTTTATAAACCAGACAATGCACCTGTGCAAAGGGAAACTATGAGGTGTCTGAGCTAAGATAACAGCAATAGAAAAACAGGCAGATGGTAAGTTAAGAGACATTTAGAAAATGAATGCAGCATGATTTTAAAGGAAGCATATTGAATTTGTACGTGGTTATTGCTTTTAAAATGAATATCTTCACAGCAGCTACCACACTATGGAAGAGACACAACACACTTTGAGTTCAGACAATGTTTGGATGTACCACTTTCATTTGGAATGTGGAATTATTTTACTAATGAGCCTTGATTATTTTCCTCCACATGGATCAAGAAATGGTAATGACATAATCATTTTTATAAGTTTAAAACAATAACTATAAATTAATTTCCAGAAAACTTGTTAGTAGTAGGGAAATTATTAAACAAAATTGAAAGTGCATATTAGAGTAATATGCCCACACATCCAAACCTCTCACACAAAAGGTCATGACCAGATGGATCAGACTCTTCCTCACCTCAATTTCTCTTTTAACTTTAACATTTTCTTCATTCTCCATCAGATTTTGATCTGATTTATTTTTTTCTTCAGAAAAGTTCCTCAAGCTGGAAAAATAAATAAATAAATGAGTAGAGGTGCTTTAAAACTTCATGCTGAAAAATAGTCTTAGGTATAGATAGAAAAGCAGCCAAGTTTTCCTGGATTCTGGCACAAGCACATCTAAATCGTCTTAAGCTCCACTAAAAAGATCTTCTTTCTCATCTCTCCTTTTAAATATTCCCAGCTTAAATTTGTGAAGAGGTCATTCTAGACCCTATAGAGACATGAGCTCTCTGTAAATCATTGTGTTGTTATACCTCAAAATTCTTCTCTTATAGAATAGTTTTCATTCTGTCTTACAACATGTAAACATGTATGTGCATGTGCATTCATGTCCATGGCTTATTTCTGCTATTAACCATAAGCTTCTTCACAGCAAGGATCATCATTTATATATCTACTCATTCATTCCTTCACCCATCATTTAGTTAGCAACTATTTTTTGGTAATTCTTGGCCTCGACCTGGGTATACGATCATGTATATATGAATCTGTCCCCTATTCTCTTGACACATATAGTCCAATAGGGTGATAATCAACAAAGAGTCATAGAAACAGTTATACAATTACCATCTGTGATGATTGTTATTAAAAAACATTACCAAGGATTTGAGGATTGATTTTTGATTAAGGACTTCAAGAGTTCTTATCCAAGTAAGAGAATCTTAAAATGCCAAGATTGAGAGACACTGGCAATACACAGCAAGTGGGTAAGAGCTTATAGAACTCAGCGATCTGAAGGAAAGTGTAATGAGACTTGTCTGGGACATCTTCATAAATGCCATAATTGATACATAGTGGGATTTGTCCTTTTCCCAAGGCCACATATCCCAGATAAAAAGGTAATTGTAATACAATTAAAATGTGTAAACATTTTTTTTGAGGCTGTTTCATCAACTTTGTCACAATGATGTAATTACTAAAGAAAAACAAATCTTGGTATCTGCTTTTAACCCATTCTGTGCTACGACTGGGTACTGAAGTGGCTCACAAAGGTCCCCGGGGAAATGTGAAGAAGTGTTTTCTAAATCAGCCCTCTAACTGGAAAAGGGAGTCAGTTTGCACTCAGAAAAAGAAACAAAACTTTAGGGCTGAGGTTGTGACTCAGTGGTACAGCACTTGCCTAACATGTGTAAGGCACTGGTTTCGATTCTCAGCACTGCATATAAATAAATAAAATGAAGTCCATTGACAACTAAAAAAATATTCTAAAAAATTAGTGCTAAACTTACTGATGGTATTGTGATTTGTGGAGGACATAAACTGCTCACACAATTCTCACGGACAAAAACTTCCACTCGATATTATTCTGAATAACATCAAATGGATGTTTGATCAGTCCTGGTGAGCCTTCACTCCTCCTTTCCAGAGATTGGGAAGTGTTCCTGTTCTGTACTCACAAAACTTCAGCACACAGCGCACATTTGTTGCCGTGCATCCTGCCGTCAGGGCCACGGATGGGGTCACTCTCTCGTGTACAAAAGAGTCTCCCATTCCTCACTTGGTTCTCAAATTCCTTGCAGAGGTCCTTAAAAAGACAAGGCATTATAGTCACCATTTTTCACTCTTTAATCTTGACGTTTTACATGATAGATTTATAATCACAGGATGTCAGGTCTGGAAGTATTGGTAAACACAAACAACATATTAAGGAGAATTAATGAGGAATAATAATCAATTTGTGGAGTTATTTGGCACTTTTATCTGTTATTAAAAGGCAAAAACAGCCTAAGAAAAAAGAAAGAGTGTTTCCTAAAACTAAAACTAGATCTTGCTAATTCCTAATCCATAGGAACAAAAACAAAACAAAACAAACAAACAAACAAAAAAAAAAACAAGATTTTTCCCACATGAACCCAACAAAATACTAGCCAAGACAAAAAAAAAAAAAAAAAAAAAAAATTCCAATGGACAAAAGATAGAATTCAAGAAATTAGATGTTTAAAGTTTACTAGGATCAAGTAAAAAATAATCCACTCCTCGTTTGCAAGGGAAAGAGAACAAGATGGTGTCCAGTGTTATGTGTACTCTGCTTCCTTTATCATTGTTTATTGAGTTTCTGACATGATAGGTGAAAATCTATGAAAGAGTGAATCTAATTTTTTTCTCCTCCACCTTTGAGAGATTGACAGACCATCAAGACTAATATCTACTTAGATAACCTAAAAAGATTGTGAATTATCAAAATAACCAAAGAGAGATTCCTTCTCAGATTTCCTGAAGCTTTGGAAAGAACTTTCAGGTTTCCCCGCTGTGTTTTGAAAGCTCTATTTGGTGAGGGCTACACTTAAACAAAAAAACATACCCCAAATTCCTCTGGGTTTGAGATCTCCACGTCATATGTTGTGATGGCATATATTACTATAATATGTAAACTATTAGAAAATTTGCTATATAAACTTTTCAACTGTGTGACCCTCATCCTTCCATTTCAACCAAGGAAACATGAGCATAAAGAGGATGACTGGGAGTCAGAGAACCTGGGCAGTCAGACTGTGGCTCGACCCACTGGGAGACCTTAACAAAGTCCCATCACCTTTGGGAACTCAACATTGCCACCCACACAGTGAGGTTTTTGGAATAGAAGATTTTAAGGATCTGTTTTAGATCAAGCATTTTCTGATTTTTCCTTATGATTCAAATTTCAATAGGGTGCTTTAAAGGAGAATCCTAATTGCCTCCTTATAATAAGAAAAACAAATCTTGGTATCTGTTTATGGAGGAGTAAAGTGTATGTGCCAAACTTCCTGGTTGTAACAATCTAGGAAAACAGATGCTGATAATCATGGCACGGTAATAAAATCAATGCCTAATGATTCCCATAAGGGAAACAATGATAATTTCAGTTTATAAGTTGTGATTCATCCAAGGAGATTCTGAAGAAACACTTTTGTGAGCAACCCACTGACAGGTTAATTACAGAGCCATATTGAGCCATCAGTGTTAGGTAGTCCTATTCAGTTACACCTAATGACCCCAGCCACATAAAGAAGAAGCCAGAGTAGCCCAGACATGGAGAAAACCAGGGGAGAACAACTTTCTGTATTCGGGAGTAATAAATGCTACCTATCACAGGACCCTTAGACCAAAATTTACCAACCACCATGGAAGGACTACTTTCAATCCTTGGAGAGTGTCCAGCACATTGTGAAGGGTTCTCCATAGCCTTTTCCTCAAATTTAAACTCAGAATACCCCACTGAATTTGGAATTTTGTTTCATTATCTAACACTGTGACGTGGAAGGAGGGTCCGCTCTTGATTTCCAAACACTGTGCCTGTATTTTCCATAGAAAAACACAAACCCTACAATCCACAAAAATAATGTTTGTGTTAGTACAAAGAATGCAGGATGTAGAATCACAGTCCAACAGGAAGAAGAGAAGAAATTGAGGTCATTTATCCAACCTCCTTATTTTGCTGAGAAGAAAATTGAGACTCAGAGAGGAGAAGATTTGCTTTGTCTCACACACCCACAGCATGACAAAACAAAGCTAAAACCCAGGTGTCCTAACTTCACAAAGGCCAGTCACTTAGCAAAGCAATTGCTGTACTTCTTATTTAAAGTTGGTTTGATGTGACTTAAAATCCAGACTGCATTAGCTACAGTGATTCTTTAGTTAACAAAAGGAATAACTTTTTGTATTAGATTGAAAAATAATTAAATTATCAAAATAATTTTTTTTGGGAAAACCCCTTCATTTTAAGAGTATTTTTTGAACCACCATCTCAATTTTAGAGATCTTCATTTAAGCAAAAGCAATACCTTTATAAATGCAGATCTCAATAAGGTAATAACCATATGGAAAAGTGAATAAACTCTGTCAGAGGAATTTGTTATAAAATACATCAGGGAGTACATTGTTTGAAGACTTTATTTTAAAGTCATTCCTCATTTATATTATGTTGCAATTGTTTAAAATATTATTCAAGTTAAAGTGGTTTAAGCCATGCCAGGGAGAAGGATGATAAAAATTAGCAAGATTTAGTATACTCAAACTTGATCCTTTTGGGGGGACTAGGAAACAAAGGTGGAGATTCATGTTTTGAGGTTTGAATGGGAAATGTTGGTTTAAATCTGAACCTAATGATAATATAGTAGGAATAATCAATTTGGGGATTTTTTAACATTAAAACAAAGCAATGTAATAGTCAATTTGAGGAATTTCAGCCAGGTGCAGTGGCTCACACCTGTAATTCCAGTGGCTCTGGAGGCTGAGACTAGAGGATCTCTAGTTTAAAGCCAGCCACAGCAATGGTGAAATGCTAAGCAATTCAGTGAGACCCTGTCTCTAAATAAAATACAAATTAGGTTTGGGGATGTGGCTCAGTGGTCAAGTGCCCCTGAGTTAAAAAATAAATAAATTTAAGGAATTTTAACATTCAGAAGAAGCCACATGGTAATAAAAGACAATGACATTATTGCATTATTTTAAACTTTCAAGCATAATTTGGTTAATGTTCATGACCACATGAGCCAAATTATATTGGTGAATCATTTACCTTTTCAGCATTTCTTCGAATTCTATTTTCACCTTCTCGCTTGTCATTTTCTGCAGCTTCTTTCAAACTGTTACAGAAAGTAAACAGCTGGTTAGTTTATGGCTCAATCCTATTTTCAGAATCCAGCCTTACTCTAAGCACTTTTGTGTCCTCTGCCATAACCTGTTGAAACTGATCCATTTGCAGGAGACAAGCATTTCCCTGTCTTGAATGCTTGAGCCAGAGAAATTACCAAAGATAAGGAAGGGTGTGAAACTGACTCACTGCCAGTCAATTAGAAGCTTTGTTCTGTACCAGTGGATGGGTGTGCCACCTTGATTGACAAACAGGAGGCTGTCAGGAAAATTCCCTCTAATAGGCAGAACCAAGGTCTTTAGAACAATGCTGTGACAGGGGTGAAACCAAACTGCACATCTGAGGCATTGCTATCCACGCCCTTGTGTTTAGCTTCTTAAACCTTAAAGCATTTGTTTGCCTTCATGTAAAGGAATGGTTGTTAGTAAAAGCTGAATTTGAACTGAGCTCCTAAACCCTTTCACATCTATTACCTAATTATAGTCTCATCCTGGAGACAGGCATTGCAATATCACTTCTACAGTGGAAGAACCAGCTTAGAAAGCTCAAATACTCTTTTTTCAGCTGGTGCTTGAAAAGAAACAGAAAACCACAGAATTTAGGGCAGGTTTGAACACCAAAAGCACATGCCTCCTAGGTAAGAAAGTGGAAATCCACTTCTTTCCTGTCTGGAAACCAATAATAATCACTGTCTCCTGAACCTGATGGAACATGCCCTTGGAATTTACAACTGCTGAAGGTCATTTTCAAAAGCAAGTGTGAAGTTTATTAATCTGTTAAATCTTCTTTTGCCCTGATTTTAAAGATTCAGTAATGTAAATATAGCACTTTAAGGCTTGCTGCTGCAAGGATTAGAGTCTATTCCTAGTTTAACAGAATATAAAAGACTAATTGCCTCATATACATATCTGAGTCTCCAGTGTCTAAAACAGTGCCAGGCATTCAGAGAAAGGTTCACCCAATTGTTCTTTTTCTTTTATTACATTCACTTACACTAACAATGAATTTAGACACATGGCACTATTATTATTATTATTATTATTATTATTATTATCATCATCATTATTTTTATCAAAGTTAAACTGTCATTATTCAACAAGAGTCTCTCCACATGCCCAAATGAAGCAATGCATGCCAAATTATTGACCTAGATCATTCTATATAAAATTGTTTTTGAATATTAAAACATTATGCCTTATAAAACACTGGGTATTTCCAAAAATGCAGGGTCTCAAATTAATAATGAGCATAACCACTTTATTCTCTCCTTTTTAGAAACTACAATTGATTATATGAAGAAAAAGAAAAAAAACAAGCCATTCTGAAAGCAAAGCCTGTTTCACATTATAAAGACAAAGGATTGCATGCTTCCTAAAAAGAATGTTTGCTCCATGGAGGGGTACCTGGGGAGAAACCCTGTGCATGCTCAGAGGACTACCTGGGTATGAGGATACTTACAAGAGCTCGGCACACATCGCACACTTATTGCCATGTGTTCGCCCATCAGGACCAAGAACTGGATCGTTTTCTCTTGTGCATCCAAGTCTTCCATCTTTCACATAGGCCCGAAAAGCACTGCATACATCCTGAAGAACAGGGAAAGGAACTTGGCATTTGTTAGAATGACTGCAGTACTTACAACACTGCTTTCATAAATTTTACAGAAGCCAGCACCTCTTGCATCATGATGGCCCTAGCCATCTAAAGCAGTGCCAACTGTGTAGAGGCAGCACAATGAGTAGTTGTAATTCATATACTTAAGTATAGAACTCATTTGCTTATTAGTTCATTAATGCAATAAGCCTTGATGATTGTGCTAGAATTCAGGTAGCTCACTATCTCCTAGGAGATTCAGATAAAGAAACATTTAAAATAGTATGTACTAAAATCCTTCAGGGAGGTAATCTCAAGTACCTCAGAGGCCTAAAGCAAGGGAACTGAACTCTGAAGAGCAGGAATGTTCTTCAGCTAGAAAATGTCAAGCCCCACATGCATTTGACACTTTCTTTTTTCCCCTATCATTGCAGACTCACAGAATCAGCATTGAAAGTAGCTATTTATACTAAATATCATTTTAGTGAAGTAATTTACAAGGTCTTCTGTCAGCAAATGACAACTCTGGAGTTTCAAATCAGGTTAAATGACTGAACTTTAGGGCCCTTTTCACCACACATGCAGTTTCCTTTAGATTGATGGATTGATTTCTTTTTTAAAAATAAAAGCAGAAATAGAGTTGGAAGGTCTAACCACCTAAGTAAAGTGATTCTTTTCAGGAACTATCAACTACTTTTCCATATTAGCTGGTGTATTCACTATTCCATTTCAAGCAAAACAAGAACTACTTCCTTGCAGGCATGCACCAAAGAGGAAGAGGAGAGCACTCATTTTCTCTATAAGGTCACCCACCACCACCCATGGCTTTCCCCAACCCTGACTCCTGCCCTCACCTGTTCTGGATTACTGCTTTCACATTTTCCCTCGCTTTTTATGCCAACTTGGGAGCTGGTCTTCCTGAAATCACAAGTTAGCAGATTTACCAGTTAATATCACAGAACTAACTCCCCACCATTCCCACCTTGCTTCTCTTCATTGTATTTTGATTCTTTTTTCCTCCTGAGAACAGTGCTACATTTCATTCTTTACTTCAGTTGTCTAATGACAGCCTATTCATTTAGAACTTGAAGTCAAAGAAATGGCCCTGTTGGAAGGCTGATAACGTTTATAGAGTTGTGAATGTAATTTCCAGAGACCTTTTGTTTCCTGTGTCTGGGGTGGGAATTCACATGAGAAGATGGCCAAAGGAAGACTTGTAATTAGATGTGAGATGCTTCCTGGAACTTTGCTGTTGTTGCTCTTGTTATTTTAAGGAAACAAATTCAAGCTTTTATTATCCAGCATCCCACTATAGTTCTCTTCATTTGGGTTACACTGAGTAGTAATCTATTTTTTTTCAAGAAAAGTACTTAAAATTCTGATAATTTACTCTTTTCAGTCTAGTAGACCTTTAAAAAATATCTGGTAATATAGAACCATAAAGGTAAGACACTTCCTAATTTCTAAAAAGGCAGCTTGCAGTTTAAGATCTGTATAACAACAAAAATAACACAAATAAAAATAAAATATGTAAGACTGATAAGAAGTTTGTTTTCCAATGATATTGGCTGAGGAAAATTATTAAAATTAAATTCTTAAAATTTAAATTTTAAATTCTTAAAATATTAAGAAAGAAACCTAAAGGGCAGTATGTTTCTCAGTGTATAATAACAAGGAGTATTCTAGAAATCTAAGGAGAGGAATTTTCACCTGGATTAGAGATTTGAAGATGTTAGACAGGATTCCTCACTCAAGACAGTAAAAAACAAGTGTTTCTTTTGTTTGCAATTGTGTTACAAAATAAATATATCTCATAACAACCTGCATGTTCTTCACATGTATATTTTCCTTTCTGTTTCTTTATATTGGCCCTTGGTGGGAGTTCAGAGCCTAATTTTAGAATGTTTTCTAAAAATTTGAACATTTGAAGGATCAGAGTTTTATTTTGGTGGGAGATTCTTATTGTAAGAAAAGATAAAACTTAAAGAATATCAAAGAATGAGTATGACCCGACTACTCTTTTCATACATTAGGTATTATATTTGCAAAAACTCAAGAGCAGACAACTCAAGATTGAGGTCACAATTCAGAACCTGCACAGCAGGTCTGCATCTTGTTGATGGAAAACAATCAATAACCAAGCCTAGCCTCCAGGGTGGAGAAGGAATAAAAGGGGGGCAAAATATAGGGCAGTGAGATGCTTTATTTATTGGGTAAAGATTAAATAGATGAGAAGAAATTCATTATTTAAAGGTCCAATTTCTTACTCTAATTAATTAATGAATACTACTTTAATTAATGAACATATATATCATTTGAGATGAAATCATTCTGTTTAAAATGGCATGTTAGATAAATAGATTGATAGAAGTGTGTAAGGACACACCTGTATACATATAACGTCCATGTTGCATACAGGTATATGTCTATATATGTACATACATACATGTGTACAGATATTATACATATTCACACACATATATAAAATCTCCCTATCCTGTTTACTTAATAAAGGCAGTGATGACAGTGCACACAAAAGTAAAATATAAAATTATGCTACATACATAACTCTACATACTCCTTTCTTAAAAGTGGTAAAAAAAAAAAAGTGGTACTAATAGCTTATGGGTGGCTAACTTCTACAAAATGAATTATCTTAAAGATGGGGGGAAGCCGTCCTATGACTGTGCAGAGAACAGGCAGACCACTCACTGATTCTCAGCACACAGTTCACATCTGTTGCGGTATGTTTTCCCATCTGTGCCACAAACTGCAGCATCATCAGCAGTACAGATAAAATCCCCATCTTTTTCTCCTTTCTGGAAATCACTGCAATTCAGCTGAAAGAGACATTATCAAGGAGCATTAAAATACAAGAAATAAAATATTCATTAGATATAAATAGGTTAAAAGTTTAAGCCCAGAATCACATAACTCGCCATCAGAAAGAAAAAAAAAAAACATTAAGATTAGTAAGCTAATAAAATCATGGGTAATGGAACATATCTAAGAATAGAGATATAATTACCTTTCAAAAGAAAGGATATCAGTATGATTTCGACCACATGCAATCTGGGTGGAGTTGGTCAAATCACTTCTCTGAAACTTGGTACACTGTCAAATCCTGCCCTCCTTCTCCATAGAGTGTTAGTGAGGCTCCACAGGTAATGTATATGAAAAGTCTGTAAGCTATAAATTATAAAGTTTCTGCAATCATAGATTGGAATGATTATTAAAAGCCACATTTCTGTGTTCATAGTTCTAACTCTACCACTTGCTAGCTGTATGGGTTGGGCAAGTAGCTTAACCTCATGGCACTTAATCGTCCTCATTTGCTAACAGAACATAATTTCACCAACCTCTCAGGACTACAAGGATATGTAAGCATGTTACTACATGTACAGCAGTTGAAATAGTCCTAACACATTCTAATCATCTGTTGTTATTTTAAATGTTTTCTCTACTGACAATCAAGCCAAGAAAGCTGAAACATCTTTTAGGGATAATCAGAGAAATCCCAAAACTCTGCTCTAATAATATGGCATAGACTTAAGGACACCTGTATAGTGAGAAAACAATTGCATCTGGCAATAACTGAAGGCTGGTGTTTATATCTCAGACGTGCCACCCACTTACCTCACCTCTTTGAACCTCATTCTCCTCACCTGAAAAAATGAGAATTCACACCCTACCCACATTCCAGGTCTGTGGTAAAGATCATACAGATACTCACAAAATATTATTTGGCAACAATTATTGTGACATATGCTAACTAAAGAAGAGTGTTATCTTAAATTTAACTTCTATCTAAAATCAGTTGAATAAAATGGAAGTACCCCATGCTTTGGACCTCACATTGAAAAATATTTTTTGATGTCATAACTGTCAACATATTTTAATGGTAGATATGGAACACTTAGAACATATTCCTATGATGATCTAGTTTGCCACAAATATAGCAAGTAAGGGGATATATACAAATATATAGTAAATTTATCAACCAGAATATATGCTTGAAGAACTCTCCTAGAAGGCTATAAAACAAGAAGATTTTAATATAAAGAGGAAAACATAAAACACTATTTCACTATCCACTTCCTATATTCAGGAAGAAGTCACTAGTAGGGTGAAAATAAGATAAATAATTTTATTTCATTCATTTATTTGCTCACTTATTTCATAAAGTTTATTACACTTATATAAGACTTTAAGTACTCTACTAGACTGTGAATCTGCCCCAGATATATATTCAATGGAATATTATTCAGTTTTAAAGAAGAGTAAAATTATGGCATTTGCCAGTAAATGGATGGAATTGGAGAATATCATGCTAAGCAAAATAAGCCAATCCCACAAAACCAAAGGTCAAATATTTTCTCTAATATGTGGACGCTAATTTACAATAAGGTGGGGGTGGGGAGGCACTAGGGAAGAATAGCATTACCCTAGATTAGGTAGAGGGAAGGGGAGGGGATGTGGGGTTAGGAAAGATAGTAGAATGAAAACGACATTATTATTGGATGTATATATGTGACTACATATATCAAAGTGCATAAATGCATTCTACTGTCATGTATAACTAATTACAACAAATAAAAATATTTTTTAAAGTGGAAAATGAAAACCAGCATGGGAATAAATTGTAGCAAAAGAATAGTCAATTAAAGAAGAATAAAGTTTGAATTATGCATTAGAACTAAAAAAAAACATCTCTCTATAATAACACTGAAGGTAAATGGTCTAAACTCTTCAATGAAAAGACCTACACTGGCAGATTATATTAAAAACAAAACAAGATCTAACAATATGGTTTTTTGCAAGAGACTCACGGTTACAAACACATCAACAAATTCAGGTGAAAAAAATGAGAAAACATATAACATGGAAATGATAGCTGAAAACAAGCAGAGGTACCTACTCTCATCTCAGACAAAGTAGACCTCAGGTCAAATTAATTATGAGACACAAAGAAGTCACTTTATAATGGTTATAGGAATCATTCAAAAAGATATAGTGATTGAACACACTATGACACAAACAGTGGTTCATCTACTTACATAAAACAAATGCTTCTCAATATAAACAAGTAGACTATGATAAAGCAATACTTGGTGATTTGAAAACACCCCCTCTCACCACTACACAGGTTATTCAGACATGAACTGAGCAAAGATTCTTTAGAACTAAAAAAAAATACTATTAATCAAATGAACCTAACAGACATCTATATAATATTTCATTCATTGACAACTAAAATCACTTACTTCTCAGCAGTACATGGAACATTCTCTCAAACAAATCATATTTTAAGGCACAAAGCAAACTTTAGCAAATACAATTAAAAAAGAGATAAGTCCTAGCATTCTGCCAGACCTTTAAAGAATTATATTCAAAATGGAATATAATTTTAAAATGATATGAAAAAACAAACCATTCTAACACCTGAAGTTTGTATAATATACTTTAGCTTAAGGAATAGATCACAGAAGAAATCAGGGTAGAAATAAAAAAATAAAAACAAATAAGAATAGAGACATATAAAATTGTCTGGGACCATATAAAGGCAGTTCTAAGAAGAAAGTTTACAGTACTGAGTTCCTACATTAAAAAAATAAATAATCTAATATTACACCTCAAAGCCTAGAAAAAGAAAAATAATAACACCAAAATCAAGAGGAGTCATGAAATAATTAAAATCATAGACAAAATCAATTAAATTGAGACTAAGAAAATCAATACGAAGAGTCAACAAGACACAAGAGTTAGTTCTTTAAAAACAGAAAGAAGATTGATAAATGTTCAAACAAACCTAAAGAAAGGAAGAGAAGAAACAAATTAACAACATTAGAGATAGAAAAATAAATATCACAGATACTACTGAAATCCAGACTATTGTGAGAAACTATTTGGAATTTTATACTCCAATAGATTAGAAAATCTCAAAGATTCTGAGAAATTCCTCGAGATATATAACCTACCCAGATCAAGACATGAGGATGTAGAAAACTTAAACTTCATATAAAGAAATGAAATAGAAGCAACTATTAAAAGATTTTCTAACAAAAACTCAGAACCAAGTTCTACTAGACCTTTAAAGAAAAAATAATACCAATCCTCCTCAAATTATTCCATGAAATAGAAAGGGAGGGAAGACTGCAAAATTTATTCCATAAAGTCACGTCACCGGGGCTGGGGATGTGGCTCAAGCGGTAGCGCGCTCGCCTGGCATGCGTGCGGCCCGGGTTCGATCCTCAGCACCACATACAAAGTCACGTCACCCAGATATCAAACCAAGGCCACACCAAGGAAAAAATAAATCAGGCGAATATCATTGATGAATATAGGTGTAAACTTTCTTAATGGAATATTGACAAATTGTATTCAAATACACTATGACAAGATAGTGTACTGTGAACAAGTGTGTTTTATTTTATTTTATTTTTTTTTTAGAGAGAGAGAGTGTGTTTTAATATTTATTTTTTAGTTTTTGGCGGACACAACATCTTTGTTTGTATGTGGTGCTGAGGATCCAACCCAGGCCGCATGCATGCCAGGTGAGCGCGCTACCGCTTGAGCCACATCCCCAGCCCAAGTGTGTTTTATTCCAAGGATGCAAAATTAGTTCAACATACACACATCAAAAAATGTAATTTGCCACATAAATAAAGTTAAGGACAAGAATCATATGACTACCCAATAGCTGCAGAGAAAGCCTATGACAACGTCCAACAGCCATTCATGTTTAAAACCCTGGAGAACGTAGGGATACAAGGCACTTGCTTCAGCATTGTGAAGGCTATCTATGGCAAACCCAAGAGCAATTCCACACTGAATGGAGAACACTGAGAGCATTTCCCCTAAAAACAGGAACAAGGCAAGAGAGTTCACACTCACCGCTCATATTCAACATAGTTCTTGAAACTCTAGCCAGAGCCATCAGGTAAGAGAAGGAAAGGAAAGAGAAATAGGAAAAGAAGAAATCTAGTTAACTCTAAATCTAGTTAACAGCATGGTCCTATAATTAGAACATTAAAAAAATCCAGCAGAAGACTGCTAGAGCTGCTAATCAATTTTAGTAAAGTGCAGGATACAAGATTAATATCCATAAATCAATCACTTTCTTGTACTCCATTAATAACGCTACTGAAAAAGAAAATTGGTAAAACGATTCCATTCACAATAACCTCAAAAACAATTGAAAGTTAATCAAATGAAGAATGTGAAAGACCTCTATAATAAAAAATGATCTATATTTCACTAAATAAAGAAGACCTTAGCATATAAAAAGACCTCTCAGGATCTGAATAGGCGGTATTAATATTGTCAATATGGCCATACAAAAGTGTCATCCAGATTCAATGCAATCCCCATCATAATAGCAATGACATTATTCACACAACTAGAATGAGAGTTCTAAAATTCCTTTGGAAGGATAAGTGACCCATAACACACAAAGCAATCCTAAGCAAGAACAGCTATAATGGAGACATCACAATTCCAGACCTTAAATTATACTGCAGAGCTCTATTAATAAAACCAGCATGGTATTAGCCTTGAAGCAGACATGAAGACCAATTGAATAGAATAGATGTCACACAGACCAACCCACATAGATACAGTCATCTGATACTCAGCAAAAGTGTCAAAAATATATACTGGAGAAAAGAAACCCTTTTAAAAAAAAGGTTTTAAAAAACCAGGATGTCCATATATAGAAGAATGAAATTTGAGCCCTATATTTCACCTTGCACAAAAGTCAACTCAAAGTGGATCCAGGACTAAGGAATTAGATCAGAAACCCTGCTACTGGAAGAAAATTGTATAGGCTCAGGTCTCCAACATACTGCCACAGGCATTATGTTCCCTAACAAAACTTGTAAGTACAAGAAATAAAACCAAGAATCAGTAAAGTGAGATGACATCAAATTTAAAGGTTCTGAACAGCAAAGGAAACAATTAAGTGCATGAAGAGGGAGTGCACAATAGGTGATCTTAGCTACCTGCTCCTCAGAAAAAGGATTAATATCCAGAAAGTATGAAGAATTCAAAAAACTTAACACCAAATACCACCACCAACAACAATTAATCTAATTAAGAAATGGGGAAAAGACCTGAACAGACATTTTTTAAAAGAAGAAATACAAATGGCCAATAAATATATGAAAAAAGTTCAACATTTCTAGATATCAGGGAAATACAAACCAAAACCCACCTTGAGATTTCATCTTATTTTAGTCACAATGGCAATTATCAAGAATACAAATCATAATGATAAATATTGGTGAGGATGTGAGAAAAGAGGTACACTTATACATTTTTGGTGGGACTTCATATTAGTGCAACATTCTGGAAAGCAGTATGGAGATTCCTCAAAAAACTAGGAATGGAAAAACCATATCACTCCTGCTTTCCCAGCCCTCAGTATCCAAAAGATCTCAAATCAGCACACTGTAAGGATTTAGCCACATCAATGTTTTTAGCAGCATAATTTACAATATTCTGATTGAGGAACCAATCTAAATTGCAATCAACAGATGAATGGATAAAGAAAATGTGATATATGTGCACAATGAAATATTATTCAACCATAAATGTGAATGAAAATACGGCATTTGCCAGTAAAGGTATGGAACTGGAGAAGATCATGCTAAATGAAACAAGCCAGATCCAGAATACAAAAGATTGGATATATACCCTGATATGCAGAAGCTAGGCCACAGAAGGGAAAAAGAGAAAGAGAAAAGGGGGAGTAATTTGATGAAGATAGAGATCAGGAGGGTAGAGAAAGGGTATTGTAGGGGAGGGAGGAAGTACAGGAAGAAAGGGGGAATGAATCTGATCACACCTTCCTATCTACACACATGACTACACTACAGTGAATGTCACCTTTATATATATATCCACAAGGCACTAATTTAAAAAAAAAATAAATACAAGAAAGATGAGGAGACTAGAGGAAAGAGAATAAGGGAGGGAGGGGAAAGGGAAGAGGAAGCACTGGGGACTGATCCATAGTCAGTTATAGTTCATGATTGTATAATTATGTCAAACTGAAGCCTGATATTATGTGGAACTAAAAAGAACTGATAAAAAAATAAATTAAAAAATATAAACCCCAGGACAGTGGACAGCAATGGATTAAGGAATTTGAAAATGGCAATGAAAGAAACATGTCACAGCTGTCCCCATTGCAAGAAAGAGCTGTTTTACATATTACATCCCCAAATATTTATTGGATTAATAATTATTTATAAATAATAGTGGTTGCTAGAAGATACTTAAAATTCAATTTCGCTACAAGAAATAAACCCAAAATTTAAAAGAAAATAGACAGTTGTTTATAAGGGTTGAGAATGCAAATCTTTATCCCAAAAGGCCAAAAATAACTGTCTGAAAGACAAGCTTCATGTGGCCCTGAAGGAAAGTACTATAAGTCACTCACTGTCCCTTTGCTTCTATGAACAAAGGCCCCACAATTCTCTGGGACACTTGACAAGTGTAGGGTGGAAATTGTCATGTGTTCTAAGGTCAGAATTTATACAAGACCTTGAGAAATTAAAATGAAAACAAACTTGACAAGAACAGTCATAATATCTTCTCAAATATTTCAAAATGATAACATGTCGATATTATTACAGATATTATTATATGCATTATAGTAACATGTGTAACATATTGTATAAAATATAAAATAATGTATGATTAATTTCAACATTGCTAAAATTAACATTATAATATTTTTTTAACATAAACATATTCATAATGATTGTGGATATATATAATAACCAACATAAGATTTACATTAATTTTACTTTTAAATGCATCCTAGAATATTTAATTTGCACAGGTGGCTAGCATTATCCTTCTGTTTGTCAGCACTACTCTGAAGTGATGCAGAGGAGCAGGGACGGCCATGGTCACTTCTTCCTGGGGGAGAACATCCCACACACTCTTCCCGTGGCCCCCAGCACCTCCTTGTTCCTCAGGCTGTAGATGATGGGATTGAGCATGGGGGTGAGGATGGTGTAGAAGACAGCCAAACTCATCCTCTGCTGGGGAGCAGAGACTCCTGGGCCAGAGATAAGTGTAGACAAACCGTGTGCAGTACAATGTCACTACAGGTAAATGTGTGGCACACAGTGAAGGCTTTTCTCCTTCCCTCTTTTGAGCACATATGGAAGCCAGGAAAAAGACCCCTCCATAGGACACAGTGATGCCAAGGAAAGGAACAAGGAGAAACAGGCTTGTGCTCACAAACGCCATGTGTCATAGACCCAGGTGTCCCCACAAGCCAGGGGCAACATGGTGGGAACATCAGAGAAGAATGATGATGTGATTGATGGCCCTGGACCTGCAGTAAGGAAGATGAAGGGCATAGACAGTGTGTGCCAAGGAGTTGATGGAGCCCAGTGTCCAGGACCCCAGCATCATCTTCACACACTTCACACACTTCATTTTACTCATATGTGTAGGATAGTGGAGGGGCATCAGATGGCCACAAAGCAGTCAGACCACGCAGGCCAGGATTAAACCTTCTGAGCCGGCCATGGACAGGAAGAAGAAGCTTTGCACACCACAGCCCAGGAAGGAGATGCTCTTCTGGCCAGACAGGAAGTTGTATGTCATCTTGGGGACAGTGGTGTAGATGTACATCAGGTCCATGAGGGAGAGCTGGCTGAGGAGAAAGTACATGGGGGTGTGGAGCCGGGGTCCAAGAAAATGAGGGCAGTCATTCCTGAGTTCCCCAAACAGGCGAGAACAAACACAAAGATGATCAGGAGCAAGAGAAGTAGTCCAGCTTGATTTTGGGGAGGCAACCCCAACAAAATGAATCATTTGAAGTTTGGTTCATTTTCTCCATGAAAGTACACTCTTTTAATTTTTTTTAAATAAAAATAAATACAAAAACTAAGTAATAATCATGACAAAACAAGAGGAGAATAAAATAAATTAAGCTTATTACTATTTGATTAGAATGAGTTGTTAATCCTACACAGCTTTTGTTAAATGAATTTTTATACAAGTATCTGTATGATTCAGAAAACAAATTGGTAATAGTAGCTTATATGTTTCTATCTCTTTCTCCATTTTTTTTTAGAGAGAGAATTTTTTAATATTTATTTTTTAGTTATTGGCGGACACAACATCTTTGTTTGTATGTGGTGCTGAGGATCGAACCCGGGCCGCATGCATGCCAGGCGAGCGCGCTACCACTTGAGCCACATCCCCAGCCCTCTTTCTCCATTTTTAATTGGTGTGATATAGAGAACAATCACATTTGTTGTTACATAGTTGTACATGCCCACAATATAGCAACACAATAGGGTTGACATAATTCCCTTCTGCCTTAATTTCCTTGAAAAAACTAAAGCCAAGTAATAAATAGGAAAAGAAACAGAAAAGAAGGATAAGAATGAATTGACTCTATTAGCCTTTTTTAATAAATTCTTTTTCCTTCAAAATCATAGCTTTTGTTAAATTGAATTTTAAAATCTGATAGTATATTCTGCCCCAGTTCTCTCTGGTAACCATCTCAGCACATCCTGGACACATACATGGTCTTGGAATACAAAGCCTATACCAGGCACAGGAAACCCAGTGAGGTAGCTGGAGCCTTCCTGCCTGCCGACTCCCAGCAGGAACATTCCTAGGACTATGCACCAGGCTCAGCCCC